TGTATTGAACAAAAGGGTGAAAAAAAAAAGTCTCTAAATGAGTTCTGGATCAGTCCAGGAGCAGAGGGATCAATAACCGCCAGGCTAAGCCCTCGCTCATCCATCTGATTCATATCTTTCCCCCTCTTGCTTTTCAGATAGAAAAGGAATCACTGGACTAAAGGCTCCCTCGCTGTGGCAGTATATACCAGCTGTTAACTGTTTCCTTGACTATATAAAGCTGTATGATTAAGATTGTCACATGTGTACTTACATCATAATGAAGTGGGAATGTCAATATGGTGATTTTTTCCAGAAATGTCTGGCAGCATAAGAAATTCCTGAATCTCTATAAATAGCTCTGTTAGGTTTACACTCAGAGTAACATCTCGTACATGTAGATACTCAGCCTAGAACAGCCTATAAATTATGAAATAGGAATCAAACAACTGCCACTGTTCATCCTTTTATACACTTCACATGATGGCAGCTTGGTGTTAAAATATCTCCCTGAGAAAATGTGAACTTCTAAATTCTACAAAATATTAATAATGTTCCTGTGTCATACATTAATTTGACAAAAACAGCCCTTGTGCTCAATGAGACTTACTCAAAGAGAGGCCTGTGGGCCACAATAAGCCCTTTAACAATCTCAAACTGACCCCTTTGAACGTTGTCAAAAACTTAAGCTTAAAACACTTTTCACATGGATTCAATGTTGGAACCCAACGTCTTTTATTGTGTGACTAGGATGTATGCATCTAGGAACGGATGCCATCATCTCTGTGTTTCTGGAGTAGCCAGCTGTTAGCATCAAACAAATTCCAGCCAATTCTTCCTTTTATGTTTGCAGCATTGTTCACGGTCTATCGAGTAATGAGTAACCGCCTGTTCTGATCAAAAGCAAAGCAAAATCCCCTCCTCCAGATAGGTCTGCAGTGTAAACTCCATCATTTCATGGTTTGTTACATACGTAGGAGCGCCCGTTCTTCTGTTTCAGGTGAATTTCAGTTTACAGTGAATAGTAACTCACACAGAGGCTTCTCTCTTTTTTGAAATACCTGTAGTTAATGGGTTTGCAGCAATATCCTCACCATGCGGCAGATTTGTAAAGAAACAAAAACAATCACAAGTTTGGTAAAGTCTGTCCACAAGAGGAGATGAAAACATCTTTTAAATGCTCATCTTTGAAACGCTCCTAGTGATGTAATCCTAAGAAAATTCTTAGACTCATGAAATCTTCTAAGTATTTCCCCTTTAAGTTAGAACTAAATCCTGATCGGCGTAGTGAGGAGGACTTTAAAAAGTTTCTTAAGCAGAGAAAATGGGGAAAAGACGGACATTTAAGAGAAATGTTGTCAGAACACTGAATGACAGTGAGTTAATTAAAATGGTTTTATACTCAACAGTAACTGAGCTTAAAGTAAACATTCTTCCTCTGTTGGGTTTTCTGGTTCTTCTTGTTTCACTTGCCTTCACTGGTCTGTGGTTATATTGCTTAATTATATAACAACATATTCTCTTTTAAGATTAAAAAAGTGAATTATTGATAAATCAATCCCTAGTTTTACAGATCAGACTTAGGAAATACATATGTTAGTACACTTGGCACTTCATTACTTTCTGCCCAAATTGTGCCCGTCTTAAAAACGAATTAATCGGCCTGTTTAAATAATAGCAATTTTTTTCTCCAGATGTCAAGATTATTTCAGAAATACACCAGTTATACTATCAACATTACAAAAATAGAAGTCAAGAACTTTTTTTGTACTATTTCTTTCCTCTTCTGAGTTAACTTTAGGTTTCATCCTCAGATTATACGGGGCGCTCTGACACACCAGTGACACTTATCTCCGCTGCTGACGCTGCTACTTTAAAGACCTCATCTCACTCCAGGAGAGCACGGTTATTATTTGTACAGACTGTGATTGAGCTCAGTGGAAAACCTGGCAGGGAGAAGAGACTTCTCTGTCACCATCTGTAACTAATTCAGTCTCGAACACGGCCTCAGCTGAATCCCCATGCACACTGACGTTCAAAATAAATCCTTGGAAAGGATGCCTGATAAAAGGATGAAGGGTTCTGTAATTTGAGAAGAGTGTGGACATTTAGAAAAATTCATTGTACATTTATGAGTGCAAATGAAAAAAAGCCCATTCAATTTGATGTGATAGGTTTGATTTTCTTGTTAGGGTCATAGTGATTGAGGGATAAAAGTGTATTCACTGAATAAACTCACTATTGAATGTTTTTATAGACCTTAAGGGGTCTCAGTGTTTAAAGGTCTGCAGCTATTCATTTCCTCATTTTCTCATGACTAAAACTAAATTCATACAGAAAAAAGGGGACGGTCCGCACACTGTTCTGTTCAGCTCCCAGTGAGCAATAACTTTATTAAGGTCAACATTAGATCCTTTGGATGAAACTTTGCCCTTAATAAAGTAATTGCATGGGAGCTGGACAGAACAGTGTGCGGACCTTCCCCTTTCTTTTTTCTTCAGTTTATACCTTTTTTTTTGTCCTGCACCTGTATGAAATTTGATTGGATGTGCACACACTAGTCTTTTTTCTCTTGTTTAAACTAAATTCATAAAAAAAAAAGTAATCTACAACAGTACAGTACAGAAGTACAGCATTGAATTCAAAATATGACTTCCGGTTTACAAAGCATTAAATGGAACGGCACCTCCATATCTTTCTGACCTGCTCACTGACTACAGCCCAATCACATCCCTCAGATCAGCAGGTATGGGTCTGCTGAATTTACCTAAAGTCAAAACTAAATCTGGTGAAGGTGCATTAAGTCACCCTGGTGCTGATTTGTGGAAGAAACTTCCTGCTGACCTGAGGTCTGTAAAAACATTATGTTTACTTTTAAGAGCGGCCTTAAAACATTACTTTTCTCTATCGTGTCTTTAGATGCTAGTTTATCTTTGTATGTGTGTGGTCAATATTGAATTGATTTGAAATACATTGTAGTATCGTCGTTTAAAAGATGAGCAGGAATATGTTTCCCTTATTGTATAAAAGAGAATACAATATTTTTTTTAGGGAAATGTACAGTTAGTTTGACATTTGAGCTAGAACCTGCAAGCTCAGTTACATTTCTCATCCAAACATCAAGAAAGCCCAAGCCTATTTAATGCATGTATTTATAGCATATAATAGCCTTTACGTTATTCATAATGACACACATATTTCATGCACTGACTCCTTGAAGGCCTTGTCAGTCTATACCTCAGGAAACTGTGGATGTATTAATAATCTTTTGTTCTTCATCCTCAAAGAGCACCACCTGCTATCACTGAGAACAAAGAGAACAACGGTGGCTATTTTTTTTTTTTATGAAAAGAGTGTAAACAAAACCTCCCACAACTCGTTCATGTGGACAAAACAGTGCACCACATGACTGGAGAGTAGAGGGATTACATTTTTTGTTTGTACTGAATAATTAAAATGTTCATTCAAATCTATATAAAAGTTAGGATAGAAGCACTAAGGTCATGACTCAATGCATTCTCTGTGAATATATTAATGGAGTTGAACAACCTTAGGGTACAGTTATAACCCTTCCTAAGGGAAGTTACATACTTAAGACTATACAGAAATAAATAAAAGAAACTGAGCACTGAGTGGCTAAATTTTAACTTGGAAAAGACTAAAAGTTACATGATTATATCCAAAGTTCCATTACTACAGATAAAGCAAACCCTTTTTTTTAAGCAATGATTTTGATAAGGAATTTACTATTAGGATTTTCTCCATTTCAAACTGAATTCACGATTTTTAAGTAAAAGCTGTAGACCACAGACCCTGTATAAAAGGTTGGACACAGCCTCATGGTTTCCAAAGGGAAGCAAAGTGCAAGAGCTTCAAATGTGCTTACTTTCTAATGGCCAACAGGGGGCAGCACTGCTGGTTTGCATTGTCCAAATGTATTTGAAAAGAAGTACAAATTCTCAGTTGATTTATCACTATAGTAAAATATTAGCTGATGATTAAGTGTAAATCTCTTTACTGGTAAATCTTCATCAATACACCACAGTGTTATTTTTATACATGTAGTTCTAATTTAGAATGAAATTAATGATAAGGCAGGTTATGATTCAGGACCTCTAGTAAAAACAAAACTGAGTTGGGACTCTATTCATTTCAGGTGATATTGTTCATACATCCTAAAGCATTTTTCTTTCACTTTACTGATATGAAAATAGTGAATAGTACAATAAAATGTAAATTGGTGTCTCAAGGGACATTACCCGATCATACCTGCAGTAGCCTTAAAACTTGGCTATGGCTCTGCAGGCCTATGCAATAAGGGTAACAGTCATAAACAGCCAATAAATATGAAGTCAATTTATTTGTAAGTTGTTTTTTTTTTTTCAAATTCTAAGACTCCAATGCAATGATGTCACATTTGGAGGGTGTAAGACTACATACGTAGACGCCTCTTATGAAACACAGTATGAGCTCAGTAAGTCATTCTGACCTCTATTCTGTCACATCCTCTGTTCTGGGAACACAGTTACATTATGTAACACACGCATCACAGAAAGAGACCACACAGAGATGAAATGCAATCATATAAAATCATCTTTATTCAAGCATTTTTATTTTATCAACCCAGAGGAACCGGCAGTAAAAAAAAAAAAAAAAAAAAAAAGAAAAAAGCAAGAACACATTAACAACAAAGGATGACAAAATAAAATAAAAACCTATAAGGCATTTTGACTGTCACAGGCACGGCGTCTCCAGTGTCGCATGCAGCCTCATATCAAAGATACTAAACAGTACTGTAATCCCAGACTTTGATCACGTGAGCGCAAACTTGGCCAAATGGGAGGGCGAGTCTCTGTAGTACGCTTCCGATCGCCATTACATTACAATGCGTGGGGGGCTGGACGATCGTGCGCGAGAGAGGAAAAAAAAAAAATGCTACAGCGGCGCGTCGCGTCAAACAAACACACACAAGAGGGTGAGAATGACACACACTTATTTACCAATATAATAACACGCCGTGAGGGATAAACACAACGAGGGAGGAAAGGAAGGAAGCGAAGGAAAGACTATCTGCTGAAGAAACCATGCACATGTTTGAGGATTTAATTCAATGATCAAATCATCATTTTCTCGAGGAAGGAGGAGGAAGAGGATTCGCTTTTAAATGTCGTAAAGGAGAAATCTGCAGAGGGAAACATATTCTTACTGTCAAACCCATCGGTGCCACACGAGGACCGTCACTTTGGCTTGAAGTGAGTCTTTTGAACACAATTATCACAGTTTTTTTTTTTTTTGTGTAAGATTGAGGCTGCTGTGTGACCGCGCGAGGTAACGTTTCGTAATGATATCAAACTGAAAGGAAGGAAGGATTTTTTTTTTTCAAACCTCCGTCTACAGAAGCCTGCTCGCCGTTTTCCTGCTTGCTGCTGCTGCTGCTGGAGTGTAAGAATAGTTGTTCTTGTCTGATCGCTTTGACTCATGATTCGGGGTTATGCTGGGAACCCGCCGCCCTGCCTGCCACGGAGAGGAGCACTAGCGGGGGCTTTTTTTTTTTTTTTTTTTGCCTTTTCCTCAGCGACCCCTCTCTCTTTCGTCTGCGGCCCGTTTAATACGAGAGCAACAGAGGGATTAAACATTCCTGCTCGCAGCGCCTGTTTGTGCGAGGCAGACTGGGTTACATTGTGAGAGGAACGGGTTGTGGTAAGAAAGGAGGCTATAAATAGCTCATGCAATTCTCGAAAACTATCACAAGTGGTGCATCAGCCTGTGGAGCAGACGGAACCAAGAGATCCCGCATGTAATGTCTCGCTTTTAAGTTGATTGTCACTCTGAGCGTTTGAACGGGGGACATTTTTTTTTTTTAACAGAAGTTTCGACTCTGAATTTTTCATCTTTTTTTTTTTTTTCTGGGCTGTTCTCCGGAGCGGGAGAAAAGCGTAACCCTCATGGATTATTGCTCTTTTATTGATCAAACTATCCGCGGACAGACTGACATGGAAACGGGCTGATCTTCTTGTACGTTTGGATTGAAATGGATACATTTGTGAGCCCTCCGCCTTTGACAGTGATCACATTTGGAACCGCCTGACCTGGATTGTAACAATGTTTTGATCCCCGGATTTACATTACAACATTATATCCGCTTGGGGCTTCATGGATGCGCCCTGCACTTCTTTCTGAAAACGCCCAATTCCTCGTCTCTTATCCGGACGTCTGGTGAGGGTTCTAATCCTGCTCGTTTTACGGAAATACATTTGTCAGCCCTGCTCGGTGTTTGGTACCGATGTAGGATTTCGACATGCCCAGCGCTGACGACCCCAACGGCGGACGATTATGACTACAACAGCGAATTGGGTGGCTAACGGGGCAAGCCTTGAGGACTGCCACTCCAACATCTTCTCTCTGGTACAGTATCAATAAATAAATCACGCACGTCACACTGACACGCTAGCCAGCTGTGATCGACAAGTCATCAGACTGTGGGAGGCACGCGTAAATGTGTGTCTGCTGTACAAAGGTGAACCAATTGCTGGCGGTGTTACCACGGGGTTAAAAAAAAAAGCCAAAAAAAAAAAAAAAAGCACAATATCTCAAAACGAAACCAGTAAATCCCAGCTTAGACAGATAAATAAACATGGATTTCAAAGAAAAACTCCTCTTTATTATCTGATTCTAACACAAAACAAAACTCCTGACGCTTTGAATGTAATATTTCCATACGCTATACAAACAAAAAGATTTTATTTGCACTTTTTTGGCCTAAACATATCTAAATGAACACAAATATATTTCATAAGGCTTAAAACAAAATTGTAAAATGCTAACAACAAATCCTGCCACTTCATTTTCCACGTTGTTTTCATGCCCTAAACATATCCCAAAACGCTTATAATAGAAATTTCAGTGGGGGACAAACTAGCATTATTATGAACATGCATTTTTTTGTTTGTTTTTTGGCTCGTTTTTACATACAAGCCTCCTAATGCCTAAAATATCATTTTCATATGCTACCAATCCAATATGACAACATATTTTGTCACGTTGTTGCACTTTTTTGGCACACAAACATCACACAGACACACTCACTCTCCCCAACATTCTCCTCCCTCTTTAAATAATCATTTCTCAGGAAATGTTGCTCTAAGTCTCGTTTCATTGCCAAGCAACTAACTTGGAAAGAAGGCTGCCTCTGTTTGATTTTTAAAGCCAAAAAATGTAAGTTCTTTTAGTTGAACATGTTGATGTACAAACAAAAGGCTCCCCAGGTGATGAATTGGAAGATTAGGCTTACATTTTGGGAGGAAGGTGAATAAGACTGTGACTGACAGCTCACAGCGGAAACAGGCACTTTTGCTCTCAGTTTATCTGTAAAATAAGGGGCTTTTGGCTCAGCAGGCAGCATCTTTTTTTTCTTCTGTTTTTGTTGCAGAAGTGTCTGGTTTTGAGGGTGCAGGAGATTGAGCAGTGTGTTTTCACAGTTTTCATCCTGCAATCAGCGAGTTAACTGTTCTACTACAGAAGGCAGCCGAGTGGAAAGGCATGCGGTATAGACTAAGTCCAGGCTGCTGAGAAGCACACAAACATAGGGGTCCTGAGGGCTTTTTAGGTGATCATGCAGGTTTGTTATACCAGGCATATTATATCAAAAGCTAAAGAAACTCTGTTGTAGGTTATCAGGAAGAGAAACAAACTTTGGAGAGGTGACACATGAGGCTTACAGAAATGTCTACATCTGTCCAACAAAGAACTTGATTTCTTCTTCCCCTTCTTCTTCTCCTGTGTCGGTCAGAGAAAACAGGGACTGTAAATAAAATCCTAAGCTCTTCAAAAAGCATCTTATTTGAAATTCCTGTTCACCGACGCTGAAATCCAAAGCATCACACGTCTTAAATTCACTCAGTCTGACACGTTACAGCGATTACGTCTCTGTCATCCCTTCAGCCGAGGTTATTCCCTCGTGGAGAAAAGCTTTCATTCACTTGCCGTGGCGTTTGTTGGCCGTCGTGCTGGCCCCTGTGTGAACATCCCTTTCAGAGCGAGGGAGAAAGAGACCATCCATCAGCCGGCTTGTTGAGAATATTTATGACTGGATGGTGCACAGCGGTGCCTCTCTGGCAGGGCTCCTACAGGGAAGTCCAAGACCGAAAATGAAACCGTAATGACACTCCAAGTGTCCTGGTTAGAGGTAACGTCTGAGACAAAGAGACACACTGACAGACACAGATTGCATACTAATGTTGAGAATTAGACATACTGTATGTACATGGTATGCTGAGGAGGCCTGAGTGTATTGATTCAGCAAAAAGAACACTTTAACTATGAATCTGAGATGAATTATTGCGTAGTTATGCTTCCCTGCATGCATTTTAACCACCTCTGGGTTAGACAGAAATGTATTTTATTTATTTGTATTTAACAAAAACTTTGTTGATACATACATTTGGAGGTACATTTACTGGTCCTGGCTGGTAAAATGTGAGGATTTCCTGATCTTCTCTTCTGTATGTGCGTTTATGTGCGCCCTAGTATCCTGGTTATTATTGGGGTTTTCCCAGTTTTGTGTTGTGCATGTAAAAATCATCATCTGTAGGAAAGAGTTTAGAAATATGATCCTTTTTAAGGTTTTATTCTTGTCATTTTAAACACCAATCAGCTTGCATCTAATCACACTAATATGTTTAACTTTCATTTAACTACAAAGAAAAAACTTAAGATTAAAAATATCTTTTTCAAGAGTGTTCATGGCCAAGACGGGCAGAAGCACAACTAACAAATTTCCAGACATCAAACATAGAATACAACAGAGGTACATAAAATATTAAACAGTAAAAGACACAAAATAACAGCAGATATTTGTTAAGATCGCCCACAACCATAAATACATGACGGAGAAGCTCTACCACCAGATGTGTCTGCCTCCAAGTCATTCAACATCCTTTTACAAGTTTTTGATTGGTACATCAAGTGTCCTGGAAGGAAAACTGACATCTGGAAAATTACAACAAAAACACCAAAAGACATTCCTTTTAAACTTAGCATCTTAACATGGTCATTAAACCCCATTTTGGAGTCTCTTCCTGCTTTTGACCCTATTGATGTAATGTTTTTTTTTTTTTTTTTTTTTACATTTAACTTAAGAAACATGTTCATGACACCAGGTTTCTGACCCTAGGGTCTGATAGATCCTGGTCTTCAGAATGTGGAAATAAACCCTTGGCGTGATTTGAAAAACAAAACAAAAACAACCAAAAAACAAACAGGATCTGCTGCCTGGAATACCAGGGTAATAAAAAAAAAAAAAAAAAAAAAGACTGATGTGGTGAGGAACTAGGACACATTTGCACACACATTCTCTATACTGTATTGTGATCATGTTTACAGGGAGATCATTAACCAGGATCTCATATGCATAGCCGGTAAACACTTCATTTTGTATAAAAATTAAAAGCAGGATAAGACCCACAAAGGAGATATGTGATATATACTTATAGTTTTAATCGCTGTTCTTGTGATCTCAAATTGCAGCTTTAATTCCAGAAAACATGATCAATCAATCAATCAGTAAAAAAAAAATAAAAATTACATAATTAGTTATGGTCCAAAAATGACAAGAATAAGATTCCTTACGTGGGGTATTTGTTCACCTTCTCCTCCAGGTCACACTATACATAAAGAACTTGTAGCTAACCAGTGACAGCCTGTTAAACAGCATTCCAGCTCGTACTAACATCGTCCCTCTCACTGATTTACTTGCTGTTATTGCAACCTGCATCAATAAAAAAGTACCTTTAGAAAACGTAAGAGCCCATACTGTGGGACTTTATGGAGGCAGCAGCAGATTACTGTCATGCTCTCTCTCTCTCTCTCTCTCTCTCTCTCTCTCTCTCTCTCTCTCTCTCTCTTTCTCTCTCTGTGAGGCCAATGTCACATACTTGAGATCGCTGCGATCGCACAGAACCCGCAAAACAACTGTCTGGTGTGCTGGTGATCATCCATCTGTGACTGAAAGCAAACGAGACCCTCGTATGTGGGAGAAAAAGATCGGAGCAAAGAGGAGAGGAGAGGGAAAGGAATGGGGAAGGGAAGGGAGGAGGGAACAGTGGAGAAACAGAGGAATGTTTTCAGCTGCAGCGGAATCTGTTTTCATTTTAGGAAAGTATTATGACTGATGTGCATTTCCTGACTGCTAGTTCTCAGTGTGCGAGAGAGAGAGAGAGAGAGAGAGAGAAACTGAGAGGGAGACAGAGCAAGGGAGAAAATTAAAGAGGTAGGAATGTAATGAGAGAGAGAGAGCGAGAGAGAGAGAAAACAGTCATCTTTTCTGTGGACTGGGCAGGTTTTTTCTCTCTTCTGACACTGACTCGAGCCAGAGCCTGAATATGAAATGCGAGGAGGAGACAGTAAAGAGCTCGCCTCACGACACAGGAAGCCTTGGTGTGTGCCTGTGCCTGTCTGCGTGTGTGCGTGTGTGTGCGTGCGTGAGTGTGTGTGTGTATGCTGTAAACATTGTAAACCATCTAGACTCTGGAGACAAACTTCAAACACCCATCATATTATACACACACACACACACACACACACACACACACACACACACACACACACACAGATATGCATTCACAAACACCACGGGGAGAAAGGGGGAAAAAAAAAATAAACACCCACATGCTCGCACAAACATATGTAGCACAAATGCATCACACATACACTAAACCTTCCACACACACACACACACACACACACACACACACATGCACATAAGCTCAATACTTCCTATATCCCAAGGACGTATGCTTGAACAAACATAGGTAACAGGCAGAGGCCTTAATTAGAGGACTAACTGTGTCCCCTCGATGGTAATTAAGTGTCCTCAAGTGCAGGTCTAATGTGATCAGGTAAGAAGTGCTCGTTAGTCCAACTGTATTCCAATAGAGATCCTGCATGTATAATGATGATGATGCTACTGTCTGGTGTAGAAATTAAGTGCTAGGAGACGAGGCAGAGGGAGAACCATTAACAGCAGAGTTCTGATTTATGGCAGGTGAGTGGCCGTCTCTTGTAAGAAGAAGGAGGTAATCAGGGATGGAGGCTTTTTAATATAGACTGTTTGCATTTCCCGGTTATTAATGATGGGCTGTAGAGGGATGCATAAGGAGGAGAGAGAGGCAGTGGTTGGATGAAGTGCGTGTCAGGATCTGCTGGGTCGGAGTATCAGTCGAGTTCATATGAGGACGGGTATCATTAAGGCACTTGTTTGTTTTATGCAGATATTTTCATCAGGGTCTGTAATAGTTTTACAAAGCACCCTAAATAGGGAATTAGTTTGGATACATAAAACAGACTAGTATCTGTTGGCCTTGTAGGCAGGTCAGACTCAAAATATTTGGCTGAGCCTGCTTGTTTTA